AATAATGATTCAAATAATTTATGCAATACAACTTATCACAACTGATATGGCAGATTACACCATGATAGTAAAACACTCCTTAAAAGAGTTCTACTAAGTGTTCTGCCGAAATTCAAGTTGGATTATAAACTTAACACTTATAAGAAACTTTCAAACCAAAAATCACTCATTTTGGATGAATTAAGGGGAATATATGGTACCATAAAGTTACATGCACACATCCGTCATTAGTTGACAGATTGCACACTTAACTTAATTAAATTGATTAATACCTCAAAACTTCATATTTTTGAGTGAAACTGGATTCATATGAATCCTAACTCATAAAAGAACATTTTAGAAGAAGAATAATACACTAAGAACAAATAAGTAGAGAGATATTAGCATACAAAGTAGGAGTTACCTACTGGTGGTGGTTTCACAGTTTGCACACCTATAGAGTTTTAGGTGTTTGGAGATCAAAACTCCATAATTTCATGTGATTCCACTTGCATGCAAGATATAACCCATATAGTTAACTCTCAAAAGAAGAATCATCCTTTTTCATCGAGTTTTGAAAGAGATATGATCATTGGAATGTACATATACAAATCTGTCAGATTCGGACAGATTGCATGTTCACTTTGTTTTGAGTAGTTAAAACCTCAAATCACCACAATATTGAATGAAATCGGTGGCATTTGAAAGGTAACTCATTAAAATAACATCCAGAAGAAAAATCAACGATTGTGAATGATTATGAGAGTTATGGCTGTTTAAAGTAGGGTTTACCTACTGAAAAACTCTCAGATGCACATATATAATGTTTTGAGTATTTGGGGGGTCAAAACTCAATATTTTTGAGTGAGACCAATTGGATTACAACCCCAACTCAATAAATAAACTTTTAGAAGAAATCTCATAACATTTGAACATGCCATTTACAAGATATAGACGATTTGTGCACATGCACATAATCTGTCAGCATCTAAAAATGGCATTTTTAAGAAACAAACTCACATAAAATCATGATTCTACCTATCTTCTTGAGTTCTAATGTTTGGGTCATAGATTATCACCATAATATGAACATTTTTACATGTTTTTGGTGTGTAATCTCTCCTTAAAACTCAAAATTTTCGGAGGTTAGAAGATAGTAGATAAAGAATGCATAAAAAGTGGGTTTTCTCCCAAAATTTACAAGAAAAAGAGGGAGATGAAGATGATACCTTGATTGATGATGAAAGGAGTGTAGTAGCTTCAAAACCCTTGCTAATTTTATGAAGAGAAGAAGAGAAATTCGGCTGAAAAGGTAGAGGATGAAGATGGTCTCAAAGTGACCTTTGAGTTTTAGGGAGAGAGAGAGGAGAGGAGTTTAAA